CTAAAATCTTCCTCGATCTGTACAGTAAATTAAGCAGCATGTGCAACCAGAAGTGCAGTACACTGTACACCACAGTTTTATTTATTTATTTATTTTTGAACAATTTTGTAAGAGGTCAAATTTAAATCATTATCTGACGAGAGAGAAGATACATTTAAACATGACTTGACGTTACTTAACCCGAAAGTCCAAGTGTGTACACCATAGTTTTACTTAATTTGCATATATATATATGTCTATGTTTTTTAATTTGAATTGTATATTAAAAATATAATTTATTTTACAAAAACTTATAAAAATATCTTCAAGGAAATAATATAAAAATTATTTCTAATAAGTTATTTTTTATATTATTTTATAAGTAAATTCTACGTTTAATATCTAATTTAAATTTTTTTGAAGACCTATTGTAATTAATATTTTCAAATTTTAATTGTTAATTAAATTTTCCATTTAGGTAGAGTATACATGTCAAATTTTAAATTAATCCAATATTTATAACCTTCTAATCAAAGCAACTCTATTTATTATAATATATTTAACGATGTTAAATTTTATATAATCAATGAAATAGTTAAATCTGCTTAAATCAATACAAAAATTAACAAGTATAACCTATGTGAATAAAACTTGTAATTTAACTATTTATTTTTAAAAATATTAATTAAAATGTGATTTTTTAAGATATTCTCTATGAAGGATATCTTACAAATAATATTCCCATCTGTATGTATATATAGACTATAGTAGCTAGGTTTTTGTTTTATATTAAAGTACTTAATTTTATTTTTGCATCCATTTACTTACACATATTACTCATATAAAATTATGATAATTCATTTGTTCATTATAAATTGTTAAGATTTATTTATATTTTATTTTTTAAGAAAATAATTATTTTTATCTAAAAAAACTTAATAAATTTCAATAATTTATAATAAAAAATAAAAAATTCAAATTATGTATAAAAAAATAATATATGCAGGAATTGTGGATAAATAAATCAAAACTCTACCTATATGTGGTGTAATGTAAGTGTAAATACAATTCCTCTGATAATCAATCATGTTGACATGTTGAATGCTGGCTGACCCTCCTAGTATGAACCAAAATAATATAATAAGGCCAAAAGTGGCAAACAGCTGTTGAGAGGCTGCTAGTAAGTTTGCCAACAATTTATGATGGTGCTTCTATTTAGTAGTCGGTCTGTCCAACTACATGAAAATTAATTTCATATTAGTCCTAATCATACTTACTGCTTTAATTTGTGGATCCTCTGTTAAACAATATATATATGCAGAATATGGAGAAGAAGTAGTTGTAGTACAATAAACAATGGAAATTAATTTAATAGAGATTGAGCCATGCAAGGTTGATTGATGATATTGGTACCTAACAAATGCTTTTTTGTTCCTTTTGTTTTTAGGAGGTGCAAGGTGGGGTGGGGAGGTGCAATTAAGGGTAGTAAAAATTAACTTTGGGAATTTTTTTTTTTTTTTTTGGTTTTTTGCCTGGTATTTAAGGCTTCACCCGACTAATCTGAATCGACCCGCATCGCGCATTTGGAAATGGTGAGTGAATCTTCCAACAAAGACTGTTGCATATACAAGATTTCGAGCTCGAGACCTTACTTAAACTGAAACAAATCGCTAACCACTTGATCCAACCTTAGTTGGTTAACTTTGGGATTTTGATGATGAGGTGACACAAGTTGACTTTGTGGCATTTTGGTAATGGAGGAGTTGGATTTTTCAGCATCATTGGTTTTGGTCTACAAAGCTTTTGAGTATTAATAAACAGTGCTGTCAGTGTGGGCTAGCCTGGCTTTTGATGCATCTGCCCTGCCTTTATTCACACCTACCAATTAATATATATAAATCTGCATTTTTCCTCCCATTCCGGCAACCACCAAAAAACATGGCTACCTGCACCACCCAAACAATAATCTTTATCCTTATTATGCTGCTGCTGCTCCTCTGTTTTGATTCCTATTCAGTTTCAGGTGAGCAAACCTAACTTCCATTTCGCACACATATATATATATATATATATACAGGGTCAAGTAGTAGTTAAGTTAATTAATTACCAAATACTAATTAATTACATATATATTGATATTTGAAAAAGAAAGAAAGAGAGAAAAATCTCATGACAAAAGTCGTGTTTTTTGTATTAATTGGATGAGCAGGCGGCCTTGTGCAGAGGGCGGAGGGTGCTGCCAATTCCGCAAACCATAGAACCACCAGAAGATCAGACGAGGTGAGTACGTACTAAATTAATAATCAATTTAATAATAGAATAATTAAAAATTTGGTTAATTTGATATCGATGTTGGGAGCTAGCTAGATATATATATATATATAGATTTCTTCTTCTTCTTCTTCTTCTTCTTCTTGTTTTGGTAAATTAATTAATTAAACATTTTGGAAGCCATGACTGGAAACGATCGATGGACTTTGTTTGTTTGTGTTGAATTGATGAAGGGCATAGTTGAAGTGAAGCCGATGATGATGAAGAGGAAACTTTTAGAGGACATTGACTTCCTGCTGGACTATACTCCTCCAGGCGCAAACCCTAGGCATGATGTTCCACCACCCGGAGGGAAAGGGAAACCCTAGCTGCTACCTAATTAATTACATCATATCCATATATCATCTCATCTTAAATAAAATCTCTAAATTGTTGTTTCTCCTCATATATATATATATATGTAATGATTAATGAATACTATATATATGCTGTTTTTGTCAAGGGTTGTATTATAATTATTATTATGATACAAAAGACATTAAAGAACAAAAGGATGCCAGTACTGTGCAACTTACAAATTAATTTCTCTTTTGCTATAATCTCATTAATTCTTAGATCATATATGTTTGGTACCATGGAAAAAATGGAATGGGATGCATGCGAGATAATTTTTGGATTAAACAAATTAAATGGGAGGAGATGGAAAGACAATTAGCTTGTTCATTTTATTTTATTTTATTATTTTTCATTTCTTGAGAGTGCCTTTTTTTTTTTCTTTCACTTTTTTCAAATCAAACATCTTTTTATTGTTGTTGCGGACGATAGACATTTGTTTTCTTCTTAAAAGTCTCCCCGAAATCATTGCTTAATTGAGGGTAATTTGTTGGAGTCACTACTACCAAGCAAAGCTATCAAAATTTATCCAAAAATAAAATGAAGCATAATTTCAAGGCTCTACGAAAATATTCAATTACGGTAAAAACCCTTATTAAACTTTTAAATTTATCCCAAAATAGCATTTAAACTCCTAAATTAAAAATAAAATAGATAAACTCTCTAACTTCACTAATGATACAAAAAAATGCTTCTCACAAATAGGCCAAACAATTAGGGGTGACAATTTTCCTTGATCCCAGCAGAGATCCCCACCACGAGAACAGGGCAAGAGAGGAATATTCCTCCCCGTGAGACGAGGATGGGGGCATTCTGCCCCTGTGAAATTTCACGGAAATTTTTCCTGTCCCGTGAGGTCTCACAAGGATCATTGTCCCCACAAAAATTAAAAACTATTTAAATTTATTTTTAAAAAAATTTAATTTAACCTTCAAATTCAAATTCAATCTAATTAAAATTAAATTTAACCCAATTTTACCCTATTCAACCCAGCCCAACCTATTAAAATTAACACAACCCATTATTAACCATTTAACCCTAACCCTTATTCTCATCACTCATTCACTCTCATGGTCCCACATTCTGTTCTGTGGTTCTGTGGCTAAGCTTCCCCTCCCCTTCTTCTGTGGTTCTACCCTTCTCGTCGATAGTTGCCCTACAAAGCCCTTTCTAGTTGGAGTTCTGCTTTTTCTTCTTCTTCTTTTTCTTCAAGCTCAATTTCTCTGGGTGGAGCTAAGTGATGGTAATTTTGATTCCTAGTCGTTTGCCAGTTCTGGTTTTGGCGATGCTATCTTCGGTCCTTTGTCCTCCTTCTTCGATTGTGGTAAATAGGTTTCGCTTGTAGTGTTGCTTCGTGTTTAGCTCTTATGTTGATTTGGAGTGTGATTTCGTCATTGGTTTGTTGGGATCTCACAGATCTGATGTGTCAAGGTTGAATCAACGGCGTCAGTGATGTTGGTTTTAGCTGTTTTAAATACTAGAAGCAAGTCTAAGTTTTATTTATCTAAGTTTCGGTATGCTTTCATTTCATCCTTGTTTTTCTATTGTGTTTGGTTATGTCAGTGATGTTGGTTTTGCTAAAAGATTTATAACTTGATATTAATTGGTGGAGAATAGGGATGAGGGATAAAATCTGCTCTCGTCAAAATTTCACGTGGAGATCGTCGTCCTCGCCATTCACAAGGATGGGGACAAGAAGGGACTCCCCGGCCTCGTGAGGCCTCATTGATATCCCTACAAATAATATATCTCATAGTGGACTAACTCCATTTCTTTTTGGGACTTCCACTAATCCACGCAAATACATGTGTTGATGCGACACTACTCCATGTGTAAAGAGATCAAATTGGTCATTTTATAAAAGTTAAAGGACCAAATTTGCTATTTTAAATTAAATTTTAATTAAATAAAACTATATAATTTAATATATTAAGATTTTAATTTTTTTAAGAGTCAAGACATATATATATTTTCATATGTATATATATAATGAATAGAACTTGAATAAATTTTGCTCAAATAAAAACAAGACAAAAAAATCTAGAGTTTGAAAAAAAAAAAAAAAAACCAAAACTTGAACTTAGCCTTTTTATTCACATGAACTTATATGTGTACATGGAATGGTACCATGTCAACATATTTATATATGTGTGTGTGTGAGAGAGAGAGAATTAGTGGAAGCCCAAAAAAGAAACAAAGTTAGTCCAACATCAAATACACAGTTTGACCCATTTGTGACAAAGGCTTATTTGCATAGAGAGTTAGAGGGTTTATCTGCATAATTTTCAGTTTAGGGGCTTAAATACTATTTTGGGATAAATTTAAGGGCTTAAAAAGGGTTTTTGCCTCATTAATCATGGGCTTGAAAGTGAAGGGTAATG